TTATAATCGCTACTATTATTTTTTTTATCACTATAATCACTACTATTACTTTTATTATTCCTACTTGTATTATAATTATTATTATTATTACTATGTCCATCTTATTTTTATTTAGTTTGACAGGTGTTTCCTTTATATTAGTACAAATTGCTATTTGTAAATATCCATGATGTAACAACTTTATTCAGAATATATTTGATTTGATTTGATTTGAATACAAATTGCGATTCCAACGTCAGGCGCTTTGTAAATACACTTCTTCATCACAGTTTTATACCACTTACAAGTCATCAAGAAAGGGTGTTGGTGGTCGTGGTTGTAGAAAATCTGTACATATTGTAAATGATAAATGTGATATCAATGGAAATAAAAAAATGTAAATATTGAAAATATCACCAAAAAAGAGTTTACCATTAAACCAGCTGAACATTCTGGAAGTATTGATGATTATTTTTTATTTATAAATTTTAAAATACTCATGGAAATGATAGCAGTTGGAAACAAGTGTCAAGAATGTGGGGAAGCCAATGTCACAATATCTAATAATTTGGATGATAGAAAGGGATTTTCTCATAAAATTGTTTACTTTTGTAAAAAATGTAAAAATAAAAGTCACAAGTATACTTCACCTTTTAGTGCTTCTGAAAAAATGTATGGTTGTAAGCCGAGTGAAATTAATATTCGATTGGTTATGGCATTTCGAGAAATTGGTAAAGGGCATGAATCAATTAAAACATTTGCACGGTGTATGAACATGCACTCAATATCTAATACTGCCTTTAGAAATATTAATAATAAGTTATTTTCTGCATATGAAAATTCTGCAATAGAAAGTACGCAAAATGCTGCAAATGAAGCAAAAATGGAAGAAATTGTCCCAGGTATACATTCTTGTTGTGTATCGATTGATGGAACTTGGCAAAAAAGAGGAAACTCTTCGTTAAATGGTGTAGTGACAGCAGTAAGTAAAGGAAAGTGTTTGGATGTCATTGTTTTATCAAAACATTGTAGACAGTGTATAATATGGAGTGGAAAAAAAGGGACAACAGAATACGCAAATTGGAAAGTTGCACATAATTGTAGAATTAACCATCGTAAGTCATCAGGAGCAATGGAAGCCTCAGGTGCTATTGATATATTTCAGCAATCTGTAAGTCGAAATAAACTAGTTTATAATGAGTATCTTGGAGATGGAGACACAGCGTCTTACAAAGAAGTTGTTAACTCCAAACCCTATGAGGCGCAGTTTGGTATTGCACCTGTTAAACTTGAATGTATTGGACATGTAAACAAAAGAATAGGTTCTCGACTTAGGACACTAGTACAAGAATATAAAAATACCTCTACACCATTTGGTGGAAAAGGAAAATTGACTAACAACTCCATTAATTCAATAACAAATTATTATGGTATTGCCATTCAAAGAAGTCTAAAATTAAATTGCTCTAACAATGAAAAAATTTACACAACGAAAAAGTGGATAGGTGCTGTCCATCATCATTGCACCAACTTTTCTAACTTAGATAAGCGCCACATGTTTTGTCCACATGGAGAAGAATTGTGGTGTAGTTATAAGAAGAATAAACTTAAAAAACACAAAGAGAAGTTAGGAGTTTCCTAATTTGTCAAAGATTTTCCAAGATCTTTCAAATGATGACCTTCTTCGCAAGTGCATCCACGGGGAAACTCAAAATGCTAATGAGTCCCTGAATAATCTTATCTGGATGAAATGTCCTAAGCAAATCTTTGTAGAAGGATCAACTCTACAGTTAGGTGTATATAGTGCTATTCTTCAATTCAATGAAGGTCCATTTGGACTTGTTAAAGTGTATGAAAAACTTGGAATACAGACCGGTGTCTGTTTTAATATTATATCCGAAAAAATGAGCCAACGCAGCATCCAAAATTTTATTATCAAAACATCAGAGAAGACGAAAGCAAAAAAAAAAAAAAAACTAAAAGCCATCAAGAAGGGTTTATAAAGACTTACATAAAGAGGGAGGAGAAACTTATTTAAAAGGAGGATTTTAGTTTTAAAAACAAATTTTTCCTTATGTTTTTTGATTTCCTACGATATCGTTTTTCAAGAAAATTGTCTCACGTAAAACATCATAACTTTTGAATTAATAGTAATCAACTACTTGAAATTTTCAGGGCTTATTTATCAAGTGTACTGCTATTGCCTGAGTTTTTTTCAAATAAATTTATTATTTGTAAGTTGTGGTTAGGGAACTAAGATCAGAGGCCTAGTAGCAGATTTTTTAAAAATAGTTGTTTTGAAGCATAACTTTTAGTAGAAATAGGGTCTTTTAATAAAAAAAACTCACGCACTAGATACAGGTAACACGCACAAGTATACCAAGTTTGAAAGTAAAATGAGCTTTTACTCATAAGTAATTGTGTTTCTAGTAAACTCTATTTTTTGGGGTTATTTTGACTATTATAGGCTCCTATGTGATCATCTATATATTTTTGGAGTTTGAAAATATATTTTTTTTATACATTATGTACCTACTTTTGATAAAATTAATGCTTAATGAATAGAAAGTAACTTTTTTTGATTACATAGGAACCACCTTAAATGTCACATTTTTTCGGTTGTTTTAAATATACGTTGTTTCTATTAGGATTTTTGTTTTTAATATATTAGCTGGAATTATATGAGTATAATATGAAAAATATTTGTAAAAAAACTTCATGACAAAATTTAATATCATTCTTTGTTAATTTATTTAAAAATATTGATAATTTATTTAAAAATATTGATGAAAAACAATTCACAGAGTTCTGCTCTCCAAATTGGGGTTATTTGGAAACGCGACGAAAAATGACTTTACTCTTTAACTATAAAGTGTAATTTGTCAAATCTTGAACAAGTGTAGCTTGAACTTAGTTCTATTCAAAATAACTAATTTCTGCTATTTTAATTTACCACGGGAAAAAAATGAGTCGATTTTTGAAGCAAAAATCAAACTTTTATTTTAAATGCTAATTAATGCTAATTGATGCAAAATTTAATGCTCTTGTTATATCGGTTTCTGGAGTTTTTATAAGCTAAAATAGTGTGTGGAGATTTTTTTTTATTGGTTAGTATGATAATTTCGGCTACAGCAACACTTTAGCAATAGGTATTACTCCCTTTATCTTGTTTTCTATCCCTCAAAATGGGTAGGAAATTAATTGAAGTAGATGTCAGGTATATCTACTTTGTTTTTCCAGTCTAGAAACCACTACTCAAAACATGAAACTTGTGTAATACGTTTAAAGTGGTTTGTTACTGAGTGTATTCAGCAAAGTGTTGGTGTTTTACTTATTGTTACTCTATATTATAGCTTTTTAGTATTGCTGTACTACAAGCCTAAATAATAATACTGGATATTATAATAATGGAGTTTATTCTGCTGTGTTGCAATTAAATGATGTTTATATTGACGTTAGTGGAATTGTTTTCTATGTATTCGATATTCTTAGAAAGTGTACCCGAGAAAAATCTTTTTTATAAGACGTTAGTTTTTTCTTAAAAATGTCGTAAAAGAGATTTGTAGAATTGGAAAACTGACAAAAAAGACTCTAAACATAAAGGTTTTTTAGACAAGGATGAAAAATATACTTGCTGAATTTACATTAGATTGTTAAGTGTTTTTTACTTTAAAAGTTTAGTTTTGACTTTGCCTTCAATTTTCTAGGAAAGCAAAATTTCAAAACATGATATCTTATCTAAAAATAAAGTTAAAGAGTTGAAATTTTCTCTAATGATTCATAACACATAAAAGAATCATTTAATCCATAAGTTTTTTATGATTTTTTCTTTTCCTTATTGACTTTTTAAAACAGCACCTTCGCCGAATTTATTCCTTAAAATTCAAAGATTTTCATTCACATCTGAAGAAACCCTTTAGAGAAATAATTAAACGGATAAATGGAGCAAATCTATCATCAGAACAAGTGTTCTAAGTTTCAAACTCAAATTGTAACTTGAAATTTTCTAGCATTGCTTCTTGTTTTTGGGTTTTGTTTCCGCCATTATAAATAACTAATATTCAGATTTTCGTTGGAAAAAATATAACTATTCATTACATCGTAATAAAAACCGAACTTTTTTAAGGGAATCGTTACTTTAGATTTTTACCTGTGGTACTCCCTTAAAACAGTCTTAACTTATATTTCTTTCCATATTTACGATTTGCCTCAATTTACGGTACTTTTAATTCAAAGATCAAACCGAATGTTGGTTATATTTTTTTTGGTGCTAATATATATATTTTTGATCAAAATTTTAATAATTTTAACTAAGATAATTTACAACATACGACCTTAGGGGTCGTCCATAAATTACGTCATGTTATAAGGGGGAAGGGGGGTTGGTGGTTTGTGACGACATTAAAAACTCGCTTCTTAAGTGTTACGATTTTGTGACGAGGGGGGGGGGGGGGGAAGAGTACAAAAACGGTCAAAAATTGCGTGACGTAATTTTTGGACGACCCCTTACCTTAGTTACAACATACAATGTTACCTTAAGTTAACATTGACAGTTGAGCCCAAACAATAAAATTTGTTATCTATCAATAACATACCTATCTATCGATAATATTACATTAACAATAACAGTTAAAAAATAAAATTTTAATCTATCAATAATATTAGATATCTAATAAGATTTTTTTTTAAAAATCAGTTTGTAAATGCAATAAAATTAGTTAACACATAGAACGTGCTTATAATAATTCTTACATAGCATTATCGTAAAACAATTTTTTGATAATAATGTAAGAAATGTTGTTATGATAACATAAACATTTACTATCTTGTAATAAAAGATTATTTGTTCATTACCCGATATTGATTAAAAAATTGGAGAAAAGTTTTCTTAAAATTTATTCTAATTCACTCCCAAATATTATTTTATCGAGATATATTTGTAATAAAAATCAGGAACTCAAAACACAGTTTCTTTGTAGCTATACTATTTTTGAATTATGACAAAACAGTGACGAAAAAGGTGAAAATATAAATATCTATTTCTGAAAAACAAAAATAACCTCTTTTCACTTTGATTTCCATTTAGAAAGATGACAAATCTGAGGTAAAAAAACATCAAATAAAAATAATAGAAAGTTACATTTCACATGACAGTTCTTCGAGCTCCATGTACAGTCAATATAAATAAAAAATTTAAAAAAAGTCTTATATTAAGAATGCAAGCGTACGTTAAAAAGATTTTTTTAAAAGCTTCGGTAAATAATTTTAAAAAGCATTAATAAATAGACCATTGTTTATGTTTTTCACTTTTCTGTACACCCTTTATATATATATATATATATTTATATATACCGACCCATAGCATATTGAAAGCCTCAAAAGTCTTCTCAAGCTCACGCAAAGATTTCAAAAGTACTCTTATGTTTAAAAATTATTTAACTAAAAGAACCACCGTAATATTTTTTATGAAGTTTATTTTGAGTGACAAAAAACAAATAACTTTTCGTAAAATAAAATGCAAAAGTTAGCTACAGGTCGGTTTATTTCTCCACCACGGAGAAATGGATTAGAAAACCTGACGTCACAACTAATTGAACAATGCATAACACTTCATAAGCTCAAAATTCATTTGTAGTCGTGACGTCAAGCATCTTTTTCTTTAAATTTATATAGTAATTATATTATGATATTTTAACAAGGTAGTTAATAGAAAAGCAGAGAGAGAAATAGACAATCCTTAAACAGCCACTTTTGAAAAAATTCACCTAAAGACTTTCTTTTTTTTGTTTGTTTTACGACATCCAATTTTTTATAAAAGTATTAAAATAAAATTGTTGAAAAAAAAAATATTGACATTTTTATTTATTACTCACAGGGGACGGACTCCTATAATAATCCGTGACATTACCAGAAAAATGCGTTGGAGATTTTTGCGAAACTCGAAGCTTATAATATGGACTAGAGACAGTTTCTAGAGCTAGTTGCGCTTCAGCAGCCGATTTAAAAATCGCTAATATTGTCGGTCGTTGAGCAGACGTTTGCTGCGAATTCGAGTTAGGTTGCTGAGAGCTACTGCTTTTAATCTTTAGTATGCGAGCACCTGCATTTTTAATCTCGTCGAAAATAGCGTCGGCGTCTGAAGAAACTGTGTCAGGAAAATCAAAAATTTCCAGAATGTGATTGACAGCTATAAATAAGAATGATAAAAAAATTACGTTGAACAATCTTTTCAAATTTTTTCATTAGATAAATTAAAATATCAAACATGGCCCCTTAAAAATATATTTAATAAATATGAAGTGGTGACAATATTTTAAAATATTATTTGTCTGCATAAAAAAAGATAATAACAAAATAACAATTTATCAACTTATTTGATAACAATAATAATAATACTTAAATAACTTACTCAGCTTACTTACGTGGTATTTAAATAGCCTGCAATAAACAATTTGTGCTTTTTATATTTTTTATATTTTTGTTCTTATTTTTATCTAAATTTTAAAATTTATTGTAATTGCAGGCTATTTAAATACCACGTAAGTAAGCTGACAAAACTTGTAGTTTCTTACTTTTTTGATCAACTTCACTGCTATTTGAGTTGGGTCGACTTATACGAATCTGTTGACTATTATGGTTTTGAAATCTAGAAGAACGCACTTTTTTAGTATGAAGGCCAGCAGGTCGAATTTGATTGTAGATAGGAGAGTGTAGAACAGGAAAACTAAATTGAAAACTATTGTTAATTAATAAACTGTAAACTTTTATTTCAATAAAAATGATTTTTTTAAAACTTAAAACATACTGTTGACATTGTTGCATGTATGTATATTTATTTGTGTTTTCCTCCTTTCGATAATAGTCTGGTTTTTTAACAAATGTTTGCCCTCTATGAGTGCATGTTGTCTGGCCAATATGAACATTGCTGTATGATAAAGGAGTAAAAACTTGGTTTCCAGGTAATGAAAGGTAAACAGGTTGCTTTCCTACCACCCCAGGTACAACTCTTGCAGGCTGATATACAGTTTGCCTATACGACTGTGGTAGAGGTTTTCCTAATGGTGATTGCGTAGTACTATATGTTTGCTGTTGAACTGGATGAACTGGAGGGGAAGGTGATTGAGAGGTTGCTTGGTTAAAGATTTCAGGAGTTTCTACTATTTGACCATATTGATTGACATAACCAGCATAAGCAGTTGGTTGCGTTGTGGGAAAATATTGTATTGTTGCTAGATTATTAGGTTGCTGGTAAACTCCATTGGGATTTGTTTGTACTAAATAAAGTTGTCTGCCACCTACTGTAAATTGATGTGATGCACTTGATGGGTCAGGACTAGGTGGCGAAGAAACTTGCTGTGAAGGGTGTTTAGCAGTTTCATCATTTTCTATTGACATATTTGATAACTGATTAGCACAACTTTGATAAGAAACTTGTGAAAGTAAAGCACTTGGCGAATCTAGAAGTGGCTAAAAATAGCAAAAAACTATAAAAAAAAAAAGAATTTAAAATTATTTAAATAATATTTTTACTTTGAATGAAAAATAACCTATGTAAATTTGAAACAAACCCAACAATTTTGATGGGTCCTAGAGGAATATTAGTGAAAACTATGTTAAAACTGGGACTCAAAAGATGTAGAACTATATGCTAATTGAAAATAGTATTGATTTTTATTTAAAAATAAAGTTATAAAAAATACAACAATTTTTTTATTAAAAAACTGTTCAGTTAAAACTTTTCAATAAAATTTCCAATAAAACAACATTTTTTTAGATACATTTTTGGTATATCTTTGTTCAACAAAGATTGCTTCATTGAAAATTTTGTTGAAAATAATTCTTTAATGAAAAGTTTTAATTGAACATTTCTTTAATAAAAAGTGTATATATTTTAAGTTAGATTTTAATTTTAAATAAAAATCAGTACTATTTTATAAAATAAAATTTCAAAATAAATATTTTATTTAGTCTCTTTTAAGTTTCAGGTTGACATAATTTTTACTTATACTAAGACCCATCCAAAATGTTGGACTTTGAAACTAACTCAAATATGAGTGTTGTCATATTTGACCTTTCGTATATTCTCTTTTAGAAAAAAATTCTTTGTCTAAAAGAAAAAGAGCTCAATTGTAAGAACCAGCTAAAATATGACAACAGTATAGCATACAAAGACAAATGAGATAATAAAATAAAACGAGGTAGAGAATGAAATTAGAGGTGAAAAAATTTCAAGCATGATAAAAAAAGACAACTTTGTTTTGGTTTTAAGCAGATCACCCTATAATACCCAATAATACCTCCTGATCTATGAATACTTTTTTTTTACATAACTAAATGAATACTTTTGCGCCACAATAAAATTCTATATAGTTCTGCAAAAAGTTCTGCAAAAGCATTCTATAAATTAGATTCTAGAGACAAAATGTAAACCAAAAAATTTCTCGGTTAACAATGTTTTTGTTTTTTTTCAATTTTACTTAACCAATTTTAAGAGATTCTAAAATTAATTTTAAAAATAAAGTTTTTAATTAAAATAAAAAAACTCTTCAAATTCAAAACTCAAATAGACCTAATTGTTTCAAATCAAATAATTAATTTTCTGAACAAATTTATCTTATTGTCAAATTTTCCATTCTATTTAAATCATCAATTTAAGAATAAATTCAAATAAACTTTACTTGTGTTGGGGTGTAAACGTATTGCGGAGTTGGCTGTGGGACTACATAATAATGCTGAAGTCCATTCTGACTATTTGTTACATAAACTGGTACATAAGGGGGCTGAATAGAATGCTGCATGTAGACATTTGCTCCACTATATGTGCTACTTGATGCTTGTTGTGGATACGCTCCTGTCTGGAATACTGCAGATGATCCATCTCCATTAATCAACGGTTGAACTGAAAAAATATCGTTAATATATATTTCAAAAATAAGCAATTATAACTTTGATTTTTTAAAAATGCATATAATTGTTGTGTTTATCAATGCATATCCTACTAACCTTTTTTTTACAAACAACTTTTACATATTTTATATGTGTATATTTATATACATCACCCCTTGGAATTAAATTGCTGACCTCAAACATTTTTAGGTCGGCAGTTACGTTGACATTGCCGAATGTCCACCCTAATTTCTTAGGGATGATATATATATATATATATATATATATATATATATATATATATATATATATCATCCCTAAGAAATTAGGGTGGACATTCGGCAAAGTCAACGTAACTGCCGACCTAAAAATGTTTGAGGTCTGCAAAAAAAATTTGATACAAAGTGTATATATATATATATATATATATATATATATATATATATATATATATATATATATATATATATATATATATATATATATATATATATAACACACATATATACATATATGCACACACACACACACACACACACACTCACTCACAATGATATTTTTAACTTCACGCATTTTAATACACATATTTTTAACTTTATCTATTTTTCACTAAAAATGTTGCTATATCATTCTATACTAAAAACATAAGTATGTATATATATATATATATATATATATATATATATATATATATATATATATATATATATATATATATACACACACACACACATATATATACACAAAACCTGTTTGAGGATTAATAGCAATGGCTCCACCTGGTAAAGTTATGTTAGGTGCATTGTAGGGTTCTCCTTAAAAAAAAAAAAAATAATAAAGAAGCTTTAAACTGTTTAATTTTGAATGCAATAACAATTTTTGTTGATCATGTAATACAGCACTCACCATTATGCATGTAGGCAGGACTAGCATAACTGAAGTGATCTGATAGTGTACCATTAGAATTTTGATAACCTACGACATTAAATTTAAAAAATAAAAAAAACTTTAGTAAAATAAAAAGTATTAGAAATAAGTAATAGATTTTCTCCCATAATCCATTACTGGTTTTATTATATATTCTTATTTTACTTTGGCCTGTTCAACAACACGGGATTGCGGAGAGGGGACAACAAAAAGCAATTATCAACCATAAAACTGATTTTCAATTGTCCACTTCAGCAAATTGTCATACCACAAAGTATTGATTTTCAATACTTATTTTTAGACTTAAATTTATAACAAACAGATTTAGAAGTGTTAAAAAAATTAAATAATACAAAATACTGCATAATCGTCGCAGATTATCAAGATATCAATGATTCAACAAAATATAATACTTTATATTGCAACATTTAGGTGATATTGATAAAAAAGATGAAAACGACAAAAAAGGTGATATTGATAAAAAAGCATTTTTTACAGTTAAAATATTACAGCTAGAAAATTAAGTGTTATCAATTGTCAAATTTTAACTTTTACATTATTTAAAAACTTTTACTGTTGCTTATTGATACTGTATGTATGTATGTATGTATGTATGTATGTATGTATGTATGTATGTATGTATGTATGTATGTATGTATGTATGTATGTATGTATGTATGTATGCATGCATGTGTATGTATGTATGTATGTATGCGTACTTTTTTTATAAGGAGCAAATTATTAAAAGTTTGCTAGCAAGAAAGTTACAAAAAACAAAACAAAAATAACAAACTTACGACTACAAAAGTAATAACACTCTAGTCACTAACTGCATAACAAAAGTAATAACACTATAATAGTGTTATTACTTTTATAACTCTTTTATAACTTTTAAAATTCATTCTTTGTTCAAGCAACATTAGTATTTCCAAATTTTAATTAAAGTAGAAAAATATCTAGAAGAATAAAGCGGATATTCAAATATTATTAAAAATTTCAGAACCTTTCACATATCACTTAACCAACGTTATAAAAAAGTACTTTATAAAAAGTATAGCATTATGAAAAACATTACGTAAAAACGCGCGTCAACTTTAAAATCAACCAATAAAATTTTTTTATTGGTTAATTTTAAAATTAACGCGCGTTTTTACGGTCCATTAGTAACATTTTTCATAATGCTAAACTTTTAATATGATACGTTTTCATAAAGTTGTTTGTCACGTTTTCATAAGTTACTTTAGTTTTAATATTATTTGAATATCCACTTTATTTTTCTAGATATTTTTCTACTTTAATTAAAATTTGGAAATACTAATGTTGCTTGAACAAAGAATGAGTTTTAAAAGTTATAAAAGCGTTATAAAAGTAATAACACTGTTATAGTGTTATTACTTTTGTAATGCAGTTAGTGACTAGAGTGTTATTACTTTCGTAATCGTAAGTTTGTTTTATTTTTTATTTTTTCGCTAACAAATTTAAGTTGATTCTCCCCTTAAAAACAAGGAACACGGCTTTGTATAAACTAAAATTTTGAATACTAGATATTTTTCCAGATTTTGCATCTTAATTCAACCCTTGTTGTTACATTAAAATTATACAAATAAATTTTACCAACACATTGCTATTTGTATTTTTGCTATCCTCTTAAAAAAAATTAAAAAAAGGAAAATCATTCTTATTATTGTAGACTTCAAACTGTTTTTTTTTTTTCTTCGCCTTATCTAATTTTGTTGCTGAATGTAACTCTAAAGAAACAAAAATAAAAACAGTACACAAATTATCTAAATTATTAATTTGTTTTTATTTTTTTCTATTTCAATCTCTTTTTATTTTGTTAGTTTTGTTTTTTTGTTTTTGAATTTTTTTCAGCATTATTATAAAACTTGCAAACAGCCGTGTTCACGTTTTCTAAAATATTATAATCGCGCATGGTCATACGAGACAAAAAACCGCACGCCTTTTCTAGGAAGGCTTGATATATATATATATATATATATATATATATATATATATATATATATATATATATATATATATATATATATAAAACATAAATTAAATAACAAATATCAAAAAATATTATATGTTGATGACTAATTAATAACTTGATACCCTGCTTTGATACATAAAAGTTACAAGGACCTGCTCACATAATTTCTTAACAAGATATTTTAGCCAAATTACAAACTAAACTTACTAAGAAATAAAATAAACTTTGTTGTAAAAATTTTGAAAACAACTAACCATAAGGTACTTGATACAGTTGTAAATGAGAAACATTTTTTCTATCTTGAACACGCTTTGTTGAACTAGTTTTTGTATTTCCTTAAAAAAAGATTTTAAGTGTTAACCAAACCAATTAATATATCGTGACATTAGAATAATAGGGTTCTATCCCCATGTTATAACCACAATTAAGTAGCCTCCTCACCTGTAGTGACCTTCTCAACCTTAGGGGGAGGGGTGAATTTATATTAAATATAAAAAATTTAAATAAAGCTTTAAGCTAATGGCTTTCTCAAATTTGAAACATCTTAATTTTTGTATGGGTAATGACTGAAAAAGGTTAAAAATTGAATAAATTGCAAAAATATATATTTAAATTTAAAATATATTAATTCAACTTTTAAGGAAGAAATTTTTAGAAATCCAGAAAAACTTAAAGTTAAAAAAATGTCCCGATATATCTGGAAAAAGAAAATCCCTAAAAACAACGAGTCAAGCAAGATTAAGTTTTGGTTGACAAAAGATTTGAGTAGTGACAAAAGATTTGAGTAGTGACAAAAGATTTGAGTAGTGACAAAAGTAGTATTAGTATAAAAACATTTTTAGTCAGTTAACTTAACAGATAACCTTACAACAGGATAAGGATTCAAGCATGGCAGATTTAACAACAAGGACAACTTTAATACTGCGGTTAGAAAGGAATAATTCAATAATTAACTTTCCCAGATACAAAGTGAGTTTTTGGAAAAGACCAGCATGTCAGACTTTATTGAAAGCCTTAAACAAGCTGAAAGCAATAGCTTTTACCTCACTGTTTCCATATTGCCTGATAGATTTTTGTTTCAATAATAAACAAGCCAGCAGTTTTGAATCTCAAGCTTTAGAGCCAAAGGGGTCAATGGTACAGGAGCCAAGCTATTAGTAACATTATTGGCTGGGGAAGAAAGAGAAAAATGTCAATTAGGTAAAAAACAACATTAAAGAGTGGTCTTGAGAAAAGAACAATAAAAAAAAAAATAAAGATCTGAATAGATACAAAAACAAAAGCACAAAAAAGCACAACAAATAGATAATAAACAAAAGCACATAAAAGCATAACAAATAGATACTAAACAAAAGCACATAAAAGCACAACAAATAGATACTAAACAAAAGCACATAAAAGCACAACAAATAGATACTAAACAAAAGCACATAAAAGCACAACAAATAGGCAAATTTATACGCAAGTATATACCCGGCCCAAGCATGCGATTATTGGAGTCTTTGTAAATTAAATAATAATAACCATTAACACTGAGATCCCAATAAAAATCACAATTTATATGAATATGTTATAAGAATATGTAGAATATATACTATTTAGGATATAATATTTAGCAATAAATTTCTATAAATAAATGTAAAACAATTAAGTAAATAACAGTTAAAACTTGTAACTCAAATAATAAATACACACCGACAGAACTGAAAAATGCTAATGGAACCTAATGGAACCATTGTGTCTGGGTTAAACATGAACATGGCAATCTTGATTCAACAAATCAAGATATCCCACAGTTTTGTATCAAGTGACAATATTATATATAAAAAATAAAACTTATTATTTTTATTAATTATTATTAGGTAATTTAAAAACTTTAAAAACTTCTTCAAAAACTTGTCCACATTTGAGATGAGATATAACAAAAAATTATTTTATCAAACACTACTGTACCAACATTGCACCAAAAAACAAAAAACTACTATAAAATCTAAAATTACTCCATCCTAGCATCATGGGTAGCAACCAGTAAGCACCTGCTCACTAGTTACTACCCAGGTAGCATTATCAAATGAAGGCTACACATCATTTGATAAATTTAAAATTTATCAAATGATGTGTAGCCTTTTCATTCATTTGATAAGTTTAAAATCATTAATCATTTTATAACAATTTAACAATTTTAACTTAGCATGTGAAAAAAAATTTGAAGATCGTTATGTAAAAATTTCAAAAGCTATGATTTCTTTATCACCAGCAGGACTTTTAAAAAAACATTCAGTATAACATTTCAAAATTTATTTATGTTTCTGATTCAGATTACCCACTTTAAATTCCTCAATGATTATATTTTTCTTATGTACAACCTATATCATAATCATATCATATATAATTTTTATCTACGTAAATCAGAACTTCTCCCAACTTGTTCATTAATTTGTCTCTTGGGCAGAACTCTTTAAATGCATATTTAGTATGCAAGCACATGTGCATATCTGCAACTTAACTTTAATTAAATGATACCAATGGGGAAAAAGTTCTTATTGAGTGTTTATATAAACAACTTTTATAAAATATATTGCTTTTTTAATAGGTACCTGGGTGCTGTCCTGTTCAATCAACAGGTACCTAGGCAGGCCTTTTAACAATTTTTGACAGCCTCAATTATATAAACTATTCATTTTTAAATAGAGATGGGAAGTCCTAGAATTAAAGCCTGACTAAAAAACCCGTAAATAATACTTTGTTTTGACTATTTAACCACACTTTTAGCATTTTAAAAACATGATGAATTATATATGTTAAATATAATTGAATTATATGTTAAATAAAATTTAAATTTATATTTTTACCAATGGATTTTATATTACCAAAACACTTTTTAATAAAGTAACAAATTACTGATAATGATTTTAAAATCCAGAATCCTATTGCAGACTTTCCATCCCTGATTTGGATTTTCAAAAAAACCATCTAATATATTTTTTCAAACTTACCAAAAACTGCAGCAACTGCAGCAATAGCAGCTTCTTTTTCTGATTGAACCGACTCTCCAGTTTGATAAGATTCATTAGACTGATTCGATAACCTAAAACATTAAAACATATGATAATAAAATTTTTTAAAAAATGTCTTTTATCTTTAAATGCACTTTATAATAGATAATTCATGAAATGTTTAAATTATAAAGACCTTTCTTCTGTACTTGACACATCTTCTGGAGAGTCAGCAGAATTCTGAAAAGTAAAAAAAAAAAAAATTTATACTGAAACTTTTGAATAATTGATATTTAACCAGTTATGTGCCCATTTGTATGCATTTGTGTGTCAGTATGACATAGCATATAAATAGGTGCAAATGAGCTCATTTTAAAATGCGAAAATCATAAAATTATGTGCAACACAGGAGGAATCTGTTTCTACTTGAAACATATAAATACCAGGCGACACTAACCCTAACAGTAATAACAACCTCTTCAGATGCTGATCTTATAAGAATTGCTCGAGGTGTGATTGACAGCTCTTCATCCGTGTATTCATGACTGCAATACATCTGAAAGCGGATTTCTGGGCTAAAAAATAAAACAAATAAATTACTTTAAGTCAAGATAAACAAAGAATGGAAGAGATCCACCAAAATTTATCTTGAATTAATGGTTCATAAAAGTTATTAAAAAATGAAAACTAATAGGAAACTCCAAATTTTTTTTCTCTCTTCCTATAACTATAATCCATAAACAGAAATCTTGAATGGAATCAAGAATAAAAATCAATAAGAATAAATTTTCAGCTTTTTTTAAAAAAAGCAGAGAATTTTTAAAATTTTTTTTATTGTAATAAAACAATAATTCCAATCCCTTCTCTAATTAAAAACTGCAAAAACATTAATCTTGTAGCCAAAAGTGTAGCCAAGTGCATCTACAATGCATATAAAAAGTCTAAATGAGAAAGAGCATTTTTATAAGAACCAGCTCAAATATAACAACAGTATTCCATACAAGGTAGAGAATAGAATCAGGAGTGAAAAAATAGCAAGTACAATAAAAAGGGGCAACCTCAGCAGACACAAACTTTGCAATGGATTGGATATATGGTTTTCCATAAGGATTAGTAGTAAAAGATAACTAGAAAAATAAGGAACTCAGTGATTGAGTGTTGCCATAAGGAACTCAGTAAGTGAGTGTTGCCATAATTATTAGCAGTTTTAACTACATACTCCAGTTTTAACTCTTCGTTAAAACTGGAATATATAGTCATCAGTAAATAGAGACACTTGAGAGTTTATAGTGAAAATGAAATAGAGTGTTGTCTATAAAATGAAGGAGAATGATGTCCATAAAATGAAGGAGAGTGTCGTCCATAAAATGAATGAGAGTGTTGTCAATAATATACAACTTTAATACTACAAAAAAACTTTACAAAATTATTTAATAGGAGATATTATATTAAAGGAGATTTTGCATTTAATTCAGAGAATTTTTTTCTCAAAACTACAAAAATTATAATATATTTTTTTATTAAACTAATCTGTTTCCATACTTTTTGGGGTTTGAACAGTGGGTCAGTAATGTCACTTTTTATGTTAGATGACATTGATTTCCTAAAATTGATTTTTTACAACCCAGTTCCCTTTCAGTTGTTAACCAGTTTTGCAGATCAGGAATTTTTAACATTATACTACCATTAAGAAATAAAAATAAAGGAGTTAAAGAGGAGATTTTTCAATTTTTATAGGATAATAGAGGATTTCAGAAGAGATTTTTGAAAAAAGAGGACTTGAGAGGATTGTTTGCCACCCTGCTACTCTACAATAGCTGATTAACTCATTAGTATCATACTTTACTAGAACTAGTAAGAAAAAACAACTACTGGTAATATGATAAAGCTTTGTCAACATATTAAACAAATGTTAAACTTATTGAAACACGTAAAAAAATATTAATAGAATTGTAACTAACAGCATCTTGATATGTAATCAATAAAAAATAAATTATAAAGGAAACTTTAAACTATTATAATTTATTATACCATTTTTATTATTATAGTCTTCAAATTATTGTCTGTAAGTTTTAAATGGACAAAAACAGAAGAATCAATTAATCTTAAAAAATCTTATCAAAAACAGTCAATTTATTTTATAAATAATAAATACCAAAAAAGCAATTTATCTTCTATTATAATATAACAAGGAACTTAATAGCAGTACTTATTCGAGGGATTTTAACACAGTACTCTTCACAGTTATTGCAACAGAGGTAATTGCAAGAAAGAGTCGCAGCACTTTTTTTTATAATCAAAGTCAATGAAAGTGTATGCAAATATTTAACTTACGTAAACTTTAAATTATGTAATATTAAAACATACTAAAACATACATCAAGTTTTATAGTTTTACTTTCACTTGAAAATTGGATTGTGGCAACATTACCTTGAGATTAGATATATAGCACTTATTTCCGTTTTATAAAGTATTTTATTTATTGTATTCTTTTAAACCTTTTATTGGATAATATGCCTACGTAGCTTAGTGGTTAGCACACCGGGTTTCTAATGCGGAAGCACTATTTTGATTCCTACCACTGGGTTTTTTTTAAAATTAATGTTTCGATTTTTCTAAAATACAAAATAAAACACTTTTGAAGAAAGTTTGTTTTGAAATAAAGTTATTTATTTAAAGCATTTCAAATAACAAATATTAAAAAAAAAGCAAGCTGATGATTTAAACTTGCCACTTTATTAAAACAGTAAGGGGGTTTAATAAATATGTTTTTATTAAAAACATAATTGAAAATTGTAATTTTAAATTTAAAATAAATCATTTTATTAAATTTATAATTTTTAAAAACTATAAAAAGTTAAAAATACCTAATATTAAGGTAATAAGGAAATTTAAAGTTTTACAGCTACTTTGCCACGCCCCCGTTAAACATTCTAAACTGAGAGTACAACAATGACAGAATTTAGAAAACCATTAAAATAGCTTTATAATCCTTAAGACTCAAATAGGATGCTTTTAACTGATAATGCATGAGGCATTTTAGGACGCTTTTAACTGATAATGCACAAGACATTTTAAGTAAGTTTTTTGTATTTCCTTTAACTTTTAAAAAATTTCAGTAACAGGTAAATTGATATATTTTGTTATATATTTTTTGTTTTGTTATTATGTATAAATAAATTGATTTGCAGTTAATAGTTATGGTGTATTTTTTCCTTTTTTTAACTCGATTAATTTGTTTATATTAATCAGATGACGTGTTTGTTCGATAGATATACAATTGAAAACTATTGAAAACTGTCATGTCTTGTTAATTTGGTAATAAATATGTAAATAAAAATATCTTTTATTCTACAAAGCTATTAGGCATTTTTTTGAAACCACAATCCGAAAAAATTTGTATTTTATTTATGTGAACAAAAGTCTATGCAAATATCTGACATGTAAATTTCAAGTTATGCAAATTATTAAAGATTATATCTATTTTTACAGACTTACCAGGTTTTTCATCCATTTAAAACTTACACGACATCTATTTAAAATAACAATGACATTCATTTAAAACAACTATGACATTCATTTAAAACATCGTGACAATCTATTAAAACAAGATTTTCCATCATTTAAAAAACATTTAATGCATGCGCAATCTCAACATTCTATATTATTCGAAAAAAAAATTTTTATATATATTTTTATTTATTCAATATTATATAAATTTATTTTTATTAATATTATATTAATTTATTTTAAATTAATAAAATCTATTTTAATTTTAAATGGATATCATTTTGCTTTAAATGGATGCAAAACCCGGTAAGGGGTCGTCCATAAAGTACGTACGCTCATAGGGGGGAGGTCTTCAAAAAGCCTACAAAAGCATATGAGAGGAGGGGAGGGGGAAGAGGAGGTTCAATTTAAAAGTATGTACATCGATTTTCTAATTTATCACAATTAACCAGCTAATCAATAAAAAAGTTAAAATTCTGACTAAAGATACTAGTTTGCCAACATAAAAAGATGTTTGGTATAGGAATTAGAGGGTATAGTTTCCCTCGATTCACACACATGCAAGGGGGCCCACAGGATTTTTTGATGTTCAAGATAGGACACTTTCACACATTGTGCGAACTCCAAACTTAAGTATGTTTATACCTATGTGAAACGAAGAGGCCTAGCAAAAAATTAAGAAGGTGGAGGTCTAGAAGCAAAAAAGCCCTGAAACGCCCCCCTAAAAAAAAGGAGGGGTGTAAATTTTGTATGCTCATAAGTTATGTAATTCACAATATTTTTTTACGAAATTTTAAATCTGTCGATTAATTTAAGTATTTAAATTTAGTTTTAGATGGTAAAGTTGAAATTTTACTACATTAGTGACCTCACGCTTGGGCTAGGGTTTGGGGTAGGGGGTGGGTGGGGGTTAAGCGTTTTTGGGCTTTTTTGTTCCTAGGTCTCTGCCATCCCAATTTTTTGCAGGGCCTCCTCATTTGGCATAGTTATACTCAAATTTTAGAGCTTGCACAAATTTCACACATTTGACATGGGCATACTTATGCTTGGAGCTTGTGCAAGCTCCAAACTTAAGTATACCTATGCTAAATGTGTGAAAGTGTCCTATCTAGAACATCAAAATATCCTGTGGGCGCCCATGCACATATGCCACCCCTTATATACTGACACTGAGTAAAGCGTATTTCAAGCAATTTATTTTTTGAGTCGACAAAAAACAGGTTTTAGCAGTGCCGTGGCTGATGGGTCGGAAGCTCCCCCCCCCAAAAAAAAAAAGACATCATTTGGGCCTCAAAATCTTACAAATTTTACCTCTAGGTTTTGCTAAAATAAAAAGCTCCTTAAATTAACAAAAAGACACAAAAATTTTTGTCCCTTTCCCCCCCCCCCCCCCAAAAAAAAAAAAATTAAGGGGTACGGGTAGCTTATCATCGGCACTGGATTTTAGGCTTTGTTTTCGATTTTACTGATTTCGCGTAGGACTCATTTTTAATGGACTTACTAAAAAGGGGTGCCTAAAAAAAGGGTCCGCCTCAAGTATAGTTTATTTTTAATTGATTCGTCATTAAAACACAAAAATTACAATTTGACTCGACCAGGAATCAAACGCGGATCTCCATTGCCTCAGTCTGCTGAACTAACAGCTAGACCAAGCAATCACATCGATAATAGATCATTTAACAATTTAACTACATTTAAATTAATATTTGCATATATATTTAAAGAGGTTTGTTAAATTCGGATCCTGTGCCGCAAACGAAGAGCTTTTGAGCCGTATAAAGTAGCTAAGATACCTCCTTCACTTTTTTTTATCCATAAACATTTTTATTGAAAAAAAGTGAGAGGGGGGCGGGCATTTCAAAAACGTACATACTTTTTTAGGGGTTGGGTGGGGTGGGGTGGTGGGGAGACTTAGAAGTATGCATGGCAACAGGGGGAGGGAAGGTCAGATTTCAAAATTTTTGGCGTACCTACTTTATGGACGACCCCTAAGTAAGGCATACACACATATAATGGAATTTCCATCTATTTAAAATTGAAATAAATTCCATTAAATTAAAATAAATTAATATAGTATTAATGAAAATAAATTTATATAATATTAAATAAATAAATATATAAATAAAATTTTTTTTTTTTGTTGAATAAAATATAATGTTTAGATTGCACATGCGTTAAATTTTTTAATAGAATATACCGACTGTTTTAATTGATTGTCACAATGTTTTAAATGAATATCATATTAGTTTTAAATGGATGCCATGTTTGTTTTAAATGGATACAAACCCGGTATATGCTTTATGTTTTATAAAGTTTAGTAAGTCTTTTGTTTATTAAACTGTTAAAAGATGATATAGCATGCCAAAGTGGTTGAAGTGCTTCGCCTGGATTCAAATCTTTTCTCTTGGATATTAATTTTTATTTTTTTAATCTTTTCCAATTTTCTAGAACACAAAGTAAAACAAACCTTTCAAAGGCCTATAGGTATTATATGCATAACATATATAAAGATATTATATACTATAACAAATAAAACAGATAGAGTTTTTTAAAAAGCTTTTTAAAATCTCTAAAAACATTAAAAAGTTTTTAAAAATTTCTAAAAACATGGAAACACTGTTGAATATTTGTAGCACATATGTCATGATAGAGATACTTATGTCATGATAGAGATACTTATGTTATTAATGTGCTTAAGTAATTAGTCTGCGCGTTTAACACATATTAAAGAGACAACTTTCTTATAGATAATAGATTTTACATGCAAACTTTAATTTTCTTCAAAATTAACGGGGCAAGAGTCCTCATAAGCTGCCGATGATCTGAAAAAAAAATTAGTAAAAACTTATTAAAGAAAAAAATCATAAGGTCTGTCCCTGTTTTTTTTTTTTGTTTTTTTTTATAGAAGTTTACAATAAGTTTACAATAAAGTATTGAACATTATTCGTTAACTCAAAAGAAAGATTTTTATATTTTGCTCTTTTTAAAATTTATTCAAATAAAGCGAAATTATTAAAGTGGTTGGTTTGGACTTACCATGACTAGTATTATACGGGTCATGGTATATATACAAGTCATGGTATAAGTCTGTTATTTCATGTATTTAAGTCTATTTCTTCATGTTTTTCGAAACTTTTTTTTTTTAAACACATTTTAAGCGGGTATACTAAATAATACTTAGACAGGTACTAATATCCAATACGCTGATAAATAATAATTTGTGCAATGGCTACTAAAACATTTAAAGATTGTAAAAGTTAATTACAATAGAATTTTTTTTTTTTTTAAATCTTTAAAAAGGAAACAATGAGTATAGTTTTTCTATATGTACATAGTTATTTTTTTACCGCTTACTGAAAACTATTGAAGTAAGGAACAATTATAGAAAAGATTGGCATGGAAAAGATTTATTAAGACCCTTATTTTACGGGTCCGGACAGCTAGTAGCATTAATAAACCTTTATAGTTGTAAAGACACAAAATAGAAAAATGATTTTATAGTATTTTATGATAATTTAATGAAAATCTGTGTAAATATATAAAATATTTTTTTGCACACATACTCCTCTTTTTTTTTTTTAAATTTGCTTCTTAAAAAAAAGTTTATTTAAAAACTTAATGCATTAAATTAAGTTTATTGCATTTTTAAGTTTATTATTATAGGTGACTGACTAACGGCATCTTTTGAACTGTTCAAATGTTAATTTAAAAAACTGCTTTGAAAGGTGTTATAACTTGAAAAACAGAATACAATATACTAAAAACACATTTACTGCATATTTAAAACACACACACACACACAAGCAAGGCAAGGGGCAAATTAAGCAACCGTGAATTGGGTGAATTGGGATGGGTTAAAGCCATTAAGTGATCTTAAAAAAAGTAATTTGATCAATATGAATTAATTTGAAGCAATAGTGATCACTAATTTTAATATTAAAAAGGATAAAATTTTTACTGAAAAAGTTTTAAAATGATCTCAATACATAATAACCTGGTTAGACAAATAATACTTTTGGTTATTTGTCAGTCAGGTCAGGCAAAGCTAATTTTTAAAATTAACACATGTACTTTTCAGACCACCAGTATCACCAAGAAGTGTTTGTCTTTTAAGCTGGTTTGTTTATATACAATTTTAAGTGGATTAAAGAAGTAATGACCTTTTAATTACCTTCTATTTTTTTAAAAATTTTTTTATTATATAACAATAAGTATTTTTACCTGTATTTATAAAAACCAAGATTAACATCTGTTTTAAACAATTATTTAAAAATAGTTGTGAGAGTCTTATGAAAGAACTTTACAATTTTTGCTGCAGTAAATTTGTTATTTTTTATGCAAAAAATTTTGTGATGTAGCATATTTGAGTTAATTCAACCCTTGGCACACAAGTTTTCTTCGCATTAAACAAAGTTAAATGTGAAGAATACTTGTACAAATATTCATTATTTAGACATTATTTACATGAACAGTGGTTACACAGAGGAAATCAACAAAGAAAACGTCTATTTGTTGATTTATGTTGATGCTGATGATTTTTTTGGATAGCCTTTCTATAGCAATAGCTAGACTAGCCAGCTTAGCGTGATCAAGGGGTGCACCCAGGTTAATAATAAGTTGTATTTGTAGTAGTTATATTTAATTCAAATAATAGTGTAAATTTATCATTTTTATTCTTTTAAAGATATATAAATTTAAGTCAATTTAAGTTAATTCAATTCAAGTTAATTCTATTTTGAATTTTTTTATTCTCTATTAATTTATGAATACAAGCTGGATCTGTTACTATTTCTTTATATTGATAAAAATATATTCCTTAACTATTATTATTTATCTGCAAGCATGATTATTATTTATGCTTGCAGATTTAACTAACAGCTGAATATGATTTTAAAAAATTGCTAAAAGCAATAACTCGACACCATATGGAAGATCTAGGAAGAACTAAGAGACATCTACAAATAATCTGGAGTGCAAGAATATGAATGTGGAGCAATTCTTCCTCAATTGGAATTTAATCAATTGTTAGCTCACTCTTGATTAAATTCAAGTGTAAGCTATGATGACCTAACCATGTTCAGAAGGGAATGGTTCTAGTAAATACTCTCCAATAATAAAGCAGAGATCAAACATGTTTGCTGTGTAAAGTTTATTCAAAGTTTCCAACCTTTTTGTCAAAAAATTAAAGAGGCATAACAAGTAGCTTTGTCATTGTCACTTGACTAAAATGTTTAAAAAAATAGAAATTTAAAAGTGGATGATAGGGTGTGAAATGAGTGTTCTTCAAATATTTAGCATTGCTAGAGTTCATTTACAGATTAAGAGTTTTAGTAGTTACTGTACACTGATGCCACCTAAAATAAATTTACAAAAAAAAAAAATCTGATGTACTAAAGTAATTTTTTATCTTTCATAAATTGGACTAGAAACTTGGATGAATAAATAATTGCAAGAGATATTTTCAATACATTAATATATTTTTAAATATTCTATGTATCTGGAAAACGTAAAAATCAAAATATTAGTTATGTAGTAAAATTTTGGAAAAATATCAACTTACATTCTTGATGAGGGCGTCTTACTAATAACAACACATTTGCCTGTTGAATCTATATTATGATCAAGTCCAAAGTATGCAGCTACCCTGTGTACAAGCATGCGATGGTAGGAAGTCATTGGAGGATATCGGAAATGGGTTCGAGGAACATCATTGATAAATTCTGTAAATTCTTTTTCCAGCTTTAGTAGCATTAATCTATCTCTATTTAAAAGGAAAAAAATTTAATACTTTTTCCATTTCTAAAAAACACACACTACTAAAAAATATTTTAAATAAAACAAATATTTTAAAAGAGACTAGTTATCAATGTTATTTCCTAAACCTGCGAACAACAGTTTTTAATAAGGAGTTGGTAACAAATAATCAAATAAAAAATGCTTTGTTGTTGTTGTCTGTTTTACTGTAAATATATTATTGAAAAAATAAAAATTATCCACAATATATATTCCAAACCTAGGGTTTTCCCTAAGCGTTTTAACCATAAATTCATGTAAATCCACACCAGTTGAATCTTTGTAATCGAGTGAATTTTCTAAAAACATATTTTTATTTTTACCTTAATTTACAAAGTGAATAAATATAATATATTTAAAAAAAAAAAAAAAAAAAAAACATTTACTTATATAACCAAAATTAAATTTAATAATACCAGCACACTTAATAGTGAGCTAATAATAAGTTCCATTATTTTAAAATATGCTTAATTTAAACAAGTTGAACTGCATGGTCTGTAACTTGGTCTGTAAAAAAGACTTTTTCATCTAGGGAAGTTTATAAAATGTATCAAATTAAATAAAAACTATTAAATATTTAAACTTTTTATTTACACATGTATTCCTATTTAACATTAGGGCTCCAAATTAAGTGTATCACGATTGCTTTTTGCACCTTCGCAATTAGTTTTTTTGCATGAAAACCAATAACATACTACTTCTATTTTAAAGTTAAAATTAACGTGATTTACTTAACGGATAAAATACATCACAGCAAATTTACCTATAAGCTAAAGCAAAACAACCAGTTACTATAACAACCAATTAAGTTACTACAGTTAAGTTACTCAACTATTAAATATACCAAATAAGCTTAAAGACTTGCAAAAGTTAGCAACAGAAATATTTCTACTTTTATCTTGTGTTGTTAACACATAATAAGCTTCTAATTTATTTTTAACAAAAAATTTTGAGAATGAAATACGAAAAACGCAATATATATATTTTTTAATATTATTTATTGCGTTTTTAGGCGCATTAGCCTAAAAACTGCCTAGAGGGGCCTACCATAAAGAGACGCTCAATTTTTTACTTTCTTTGAAAATTTTTTCAGATAAATGACTTCTGCAGTGCATCTGAATTCAGTCATGTTTGCGGATGACACTAATCTATTTACTATTAACAATGATATCAAAAAACTACATGCGGATATGAATATTGAACTAAATAAAGTAAATAATTGGTTTACAAGGACTAACAAACTCTCGCTTAATGCAGAGAAAACAAACATAATATTTCATTAAAAAATAGAAGAAAATCTTCCTTTTAAGTTGCCCGACCTATTCCTAAATGATAAACTAATTAAAAAGCAATCCAATAAAAGATTCTTAGAAAATATTGTTGATGAAAAGTTATCCTGGCTTCCTCATAAAATACATTCAAAGATAACCAAAATCAAATACACAAAGTCTTCTTTGGGCTAATTTATAGCCCAAAGAAGACTTTATATAATTAAAGTAAGGAATACCTTTCAAAAAAGATTCAAGGATATGGTAAATTTGTTATGTTCATTCAAGAATATAACAAAAAAAAAAAAAAAATTTAAAACTTGAGAAACATTTAATTGTTGTTAAATCTGTTCTTGTGTTATTTTTACATTTTGTTGCATAATAATTTTACTAGCGCACTATGCATTTTATTACAATACTTTATTGAAATTTTATTACGTATATGTTATAACATATTACAATAGTCTTTTGAAATTTTGTTAAAGGGACTCTACAAAAAAATTACAATGACATATGGCCATGCTCATCTTCTTTGGGCCCCTGTCTACTTTAATTATACTTTTATTTTATTTTATGAAGTTGTAAAAGTTTTATTTTGTTAAAACTGAGAAAACTCACATTATATAACTTTATTGTTACATTGCTTAATAGAAAGTACTGGTTTCTATTACTACTTATACAGTGTATTTTCTTATTAAATCAATAAATTAACAACAACAAAAACAAAAAATCAGTAATTAGTTTTTACTGTAGATATTGTTTTAACTTCTATAACGAATTATGAGATGACTTTTTATATGCCTAAGGGTGCAACAAATGCAGCACAAATTGTGATATCAAGATTAAACATTTTGTATAAATACGAAGTTTGTATTTGGGAGTTTATTTTTAAAAAAAATATATTTGAATAAGAAAACTTTAGTCTTATAAATTTTTCTTTTTTAAATAATCTTGAATTTAAAATTTTATATTTTAAAAAAACTTGAAAGAATTTGAAAGAGTTTTGCTAATTTTTAACACTTGTTTGAATAGGTAGAGCAAATGATAAGCAATAAAAATTCATCATTTTTATTGCTTATCATTTGCTCTACCTATTCAGTCAAAAACCCTCAACATACAACTATACACTGTATAATAATAGGAACCAGTGCTTTCTATTAAGCATTGTAACAAAAATAAAGTTAAAACAAGTGTTTTATGAGATATTATTTAAATATGAGAGATATTATGTTTAGGGGGTTCAAAAATTTTTTTTGCATTAGATTGAACATTAAGGATTATTTTAAAAGTATTTATGATTGACATATTTTAAATAAAGATACAGCAAAATTCACTTATGATTGAGAAATACTAATTTAACTGTTTTTTTGTACCCAAAGTAAAAACTCCATGAGACTCCATGGCCTTTATGGTGTTGTGAAGCCATGCTGAAAAACAACACCAATAAAAATTGCTGTATAAAATTTATTCCTAGCTAACACCCTGATGTATTACTCTTAAAAGCATTTCAACAAATAGAGCTACAAGGCTCGAGACAAACTGCATACTTCATGTTAGATGAGAAGATTTTCAAAATAACCCATTATCTAAATAGTTTTCTTTTTTCTTTTTTATGACTTGATTTTCATTTAGACATTATCTTAAACTAATAGTTATATATCAGACAAAGAATAAGATAAAACAAAAACCTCTGTTTAGAGAAGATGCAGTCGAAGAAGGGGATGCACTGAATTCTACACTGATTTGTTTAGATGGAGCTGAAAAATGCTTAACTGAAACATTGGATTGTTTGTCGTCAACATCAGTACCATTTGAAGCAGTATAATTAGGATCATTTATTTGACATTCATCTATTGGTAAATCCTCATTAATACCATCCTCAGGCTAAATTAAGACAACTCATTTAATTAATAAAATATGAACAAAATCATTATATATGAATATAATGGTAAAAAATATGCATATGTTTAAAAAAAAAAGACCTTACTTTATTATTTAATGAAGATGCATTTGTAACTGTAGCACTTTTATTTTGAAGCTTTGGTGGATGTTTCTAGAAACAAAATATTACTAATAACATCCAATATCTTTGAACACAAAACTTTTCTTTTTAAAACTAATCAGCTGTAAAAAAAATTCAAAGATATATTTAATACAATTTGATAGTTTTTTTCAAATAAAGTCTTTTAATGGAGTCATAAGTTAACTTTTTCATGTTATATAAACTGAGTAGGCATTTGAACAACAAAAAATTTATTTTTTGTTAATAGAAAAGTTTTGAAGAAAAATGAAACTTATTTTTATTAATAAGATTTAAGACTATGTTATTTGTTTTCATTCACTACTGTCACCAAAAAATAAAAATAAAAATAAAAAATTGAAATCCTTGAAATTGAGTAAAATCTTAAATTTAAATAATAATGCTAAAATTTAATTTTTCTTCGCAGCTTTACTGTTAAAAAATGTTTCATTGTTCAAACATAATGCCATTTTTGTCACATACTGTATGTATGTATGTATGTATGTATGTATAAAAAATAACAGAAACACTATTTGACGCACTCGGTCGGTTTAAGATCATAAAAAATTGTTCAAGTAGGAAAATTATGTCTACTAGCGCGTGTGTCTAATAGCGCGCGAGTATGTGTGTGTGTGTGTGTGTGTATATATATATATATATATATATATATATATATATATAAATATATATATATAAATATATATATATATATATATACATGCAATGAATTAAAGTAAATTAAAATAAATTTTAATTTAATTAAAAAGTTAAAACGTAGCTTTATTTATATATTTTTTATAAATAAAACTGTTTATGTGAATAAAATATTTTCTATTTTAATACTTGTAATAAGTTTAATGCAAAAACTAAATCATGTATACATATTTTTTCCTTATCACCCAGTCCTGCATAATAATTCAAAACATAATTAATCAATAACTAATATATAATACTTTTATTTTACTTTTAATATATAAAACTTTATTAATTTAATTTTTGATGTAAACTTTTATGATTCAAGAATATTTATTTATAATTAGAGAGCAATTTTCTAAAAGAAGCTACGTCACTTTTTAATTGTTTCGAGAAAAATAAAAAAAAAACTAATTATTCAGCAAATTTTTTGAATATCTTTGAATAACTTAATATTTGTAAATAAAGATGATAAACAATTTTTATAAATGATATTATTGATAATAAGATAATAATAAAGATATATTGCAAAATATGTTATTAGATTTTTTTTTTTGTTTTTTGAAAACTTTTTTGAAACTCAGAAAAACTAAATATAAAAAAAAAAAAAATCTGGAATTCTGGATATAAAGATAATCTTAGAATAATGCCCCCCAAAAAAAAAAAACTTGACAGTCAGGAGTCAATTGCAAAAAAAGCTAAACTTGATAGACAGGAGAAAATTACATAAAATTCATTAACTTAAAAAAAGGAAAGAAATTGGATAAAGCTAAGTAAAAAAACAAAACAAAAATAAAAAAAAAACAGTTTCAAGTTAACATTAAAAAGACTTTCCTATATTTTATCTGTTTTTTGAAAAAGGAAAGATAAAATGTAAATTGCTATCTGTTAAAATATATTTGTATAATTTTAATCTATCATTTATATATTGTCTTTAAATGAATACCTATAATGTATGCATATATGTTTATGTATACACTCATATGTTGGTTTTTTATCATATCATATCAGGTTGTTGTCATGTATGCACATATACCGTATCTACCTCATATTTTACTTCCTACATCATTTTTTTAATTATATAATTATATTTATTTGTTCATCAGTATACGCACTTTTAGCTTATTTGGATAAGGTGTTTACTTCATCCATGGTCCATGGTTTAAATCCCACCACTATCCAACTTTTTTTGTTTTTCTTATAAATCTCGCTGCTCATATATTTGCTTTGTGGTCATTTATCTTTTCTTTTTGTATATGAAAATATCTTTCTGTTGTATGTTTTTAAATGATGCGCATCTCTTAACATTCAGATTTCTTATACCATTTAAGCCTCACAGTGTATTTTCCATGTATACATGTGCACACACATATATACATAGTTTTTAAGCTTCAACCATGCCCTCTGCACATTTTTCACATAGCCTTAATTTTTTTATATCACCTTTCTATTCCTATACATTTTTTTATCCCCAATCTTTTTAGCATTCTGTAATTTTGGATACCTGTTGCTTTTCAACATTCAGCTTAGTGTGCTTAGTTTTACCTACCCCTCTCCCTTTTAGTCTATTATTTTAATGGTGAAACAAACCTAAACAATTATTAATAAATCTTAGAATTTTGTACAGTTGCGAATGATAAATGTTAATGCAACAAGTATACGTATTGCAAAAAAAAATCTTTTGGATTAAATTTAATAACAATTTGAACTAAATTTAATAACAACCACCCTAATAAAACGAAAATAAAAACAGTATACAAATTTTTTTAATTATTAATTTTTTTTTTATTTCCTATTTTGTTAGTTTTGCTTTCATTATTTTTGAAAGTTTTTTCTGCAATGTATCAAAATGCTTAATATAATAAAACTTGCAAATGGCCGTGACCAAGTTGTCTAAATAAAAAATTTTTGTGGACAAATAAGATGAAAAACTGCACGTGTCTCCTGGAAAGGCTTGTTTTTTTATATAAAGTAACAACTTATTTGTAACTTAATTGTTTAATAAGGAAATAAAATATTATTCAATGTATCAAAGGTATAACTTCTTATATAAAGTTTTATTTAAATACATGGTTCTAATAAAACAAATACTAGTTGATTTACTTAATAAATCAAGAAAATCAATCTTTTTTTAAAACATTTTATGCTTTGTTCAGTTAACAGTTTTAAAAAAAAAAATTTAAACAACTTTTTGTATTAAGATAATTTAGAACAAAACTTTTTGTACAAGGATATTTTAGGTAACAGCTCTACATAAATTAAAAAAAAAAAAAACCTCTAAAAAAAAAGGGCATTGTTAGAAGAACCAATAAAGACAAAAAGATCTTCTTAAAAAAAAAATTGATAAAATCTCTTTTATAATTTTAAATTTTAAGTAAAGAAATATATTTTACTCCTTCTTAGTTTTAAAACCCACAATTTAAAATTACAGTTAACTCCCAATAACTCCAAGGGACCAAGGAAAATTGTTTAACTTAAATGCTCAAATAAAGCAAATTCAATCAAGTTGAACTTTAGCTGATATGAGATGTTAATGAGTTAAGGTGATTTTTCTTTAATGCTTAAGTATACGTCGAATTTACACAATTATTCTAATGTTTAATCAATGAAAATTACGGATTGTATTTACGCATACAATGAAAAAATAATATTCAGCAACACAATGACTTCCTTATTATTTGGTAATATAATTGCGTCTAAAAGGCAGTCTATTATTTAGAAATTCATTAAACTATAAAATAATGGTTTTTTAATGGTTTATTATGATTTACTTTTTAACAGTTTTATTATAGCATTATTATGTCTGATAACGCTCTATTCTATAAAGATACAACAAAAAATAAAGAAATTACAAAGACACAGTTATTTATGTTTTATATGGAATGACTTCTTTTTTAAAAAAAATTTAGTAATTTAAGTTATCTGGAGAAAATAGCTGAAAAGTTCAAGATAACCAATGTTCCACTTACCAGGAATTAACTATATTTATAAAGATTTTATGTGTCATAAAAATTTTGAACTTCTTACTTTTGAGGGAGGCATAATATAATAAGACCAAGAGTCTAAATTATATAACAAGTCCCTAATATAAAATTAACATTAAAATCAATATTTATGTATTTCACAAAACAATTTTTAACAAATAAATTATACTCTTAAACTTTTTTTTCTTTCAAAAATATATATTTTTTTAAATGTTTTAGAAAAGAAAAACCTTTTTTGAAATTTTCATACTATTTATTAAAAATTTATAAAGAAATATATTTTTGTATAATTTTGCTTCATTTGAGACATATAATGAGCCTATTAAAAGAAATAGAAAATATTAAATTAAATAATTGAAAACTTCATATTATGTTTTTTTTTTTTTTAAATCTAACCTCTTTGATATAAAAACAGTAAGATAAACTCAAGTAACCAAAATACCTCAGAAGTAGTCATTGGTCTTGGTGAATTCACCTTTGATGCATTTAAGTAATTATTTGTAGATTGAAGTGACTTAAATTTTGGCAAACAAGTATTGTCTAGTATAACTTGATTTTCATTTTCTAAATGATTCAATTTTGAAGTAAATACTGGCGCTTGAGCAAAAGTAGCCATTGACTTCTGTTTGGAAATTTCAATCTAAAACAGACATTTATAGCTTCTTTAGAATTATTTTTGATTTATATATATATATATATATATATATATATATATATATATATATATATATATATATATATTATATATATATATATATATATATATATGAAGCATTTAGACTAACTATTATTTACATTATATATTACTGATTTATTATTTAGATACACATATCAACTGAATATCAAAGTAAAACATGAAAAGGAGTGTACAATAAATAAAGGTTTGGGGCAGGAATAGTTTTTTTCATAAATCTTCGTTTTCTCTTCTTTATTTGAAAAATTAAAGTGCACAATTTAAGAAGTTAAGCGCACAAAATATATTATGAAATTGTGTCTTAAGATATATTATCTGTTATAAAATTATAAATGTGTGTGTGTATATATATATATATATATATATATATATATATATATATATATATATATATATATATATATATATATATATATATATATATATATAATAACATATGTACATAATAAATAATAAATTGTAATACCAACAATATTTAATTTATAAAAAGTGCAGATAATAAGTGACTTAAAAATCAGAATTGAAAGTTTTCTGATTTGGAAAAAATCTAGTTATCAAGGAGTTCTTTAAAATACAAAGACTAAGATGGAGAAAGCAGGGTTTTAACTTTACTTTTTCTGTAATTTTTAATATCATTAATAACAACATACTGAAAGAATCTATAATATATAGATTTATTCATTTTTAAAGCAATAAAAATAAATTGGATAATTGCATTAATTACAAAGCTGGTAACTTAAAACAAGATCTCATTTTGTGTTTCCTTATTAAAAATACATGCACACAATTAAGATATCTTAATGATCTGAAGCTCTTGAATGATCTAATTCTGAACAGCAGTAAACAATTGATGCTTTCGCAAAATATAAAGGCAGTTGAGTTGAATAATTATGAAAAAAAATAATTTTTTATCTAGAGTTTTTCTAGAGCTGATTTATCAGTATACACCAATACCTCAGTAAATATAACTCTACACAAAATACCTCGGTAAATATAACTTTACACAAAATACCTCAGTAAATATAACTCTACACAAAAAATTGTTAATGAACAAATGAAAGGTATTTATTTTAATACTCTTCATTACAAAAAAATGTCTGGACTGAATTAAATGCCAGCATTTTAAAACTTTAACTGTGCAAAATATATTCAGACAGCACAAACCTAAGTATGCAAGGATATCAATCTCTATCTCTCCCTCCCTCCCTCCCCTTCCCCTATCTCTCTCTCTACCTATATATATATATATATATATATATATATAATATATATATATATATATATATATATATATATATATATATATATATATATATATATATATATATATATATATATATATATATATATATATATATATATATATATATATACACAAACTAGTTTTGATAACTTTATATTAAAAAACTTTTGGTTTATGTAAAAAAAAACAGGTTTTAGTGAAATTTTTGTTCCAATTTCAATATTTAAAGACAACATAAATGAGTAACAGATTGTAACAGGAAAAACCCAGGTTTTCTCAAAGAGAATAAAAACTTGATAAAACACAGACATTAATTTTACATTTTTACTATATTATCATTTAATTTTATTTTCATATCATTTCTCTGTTTTATTGCATTTTTTACAAGCAAAATAATAAATCTAGTTTTTAATTCACTTTTATTTCTGGTGGGAAATGTTGATAAAATTGTTTGCTTTTAATTTTAATTGGTATATGAGATACAATTTATTAAAAAAAAAAAATTTGTAAAGATATGTAAGATTTATTAATTTTTATGTGAAACAAGTTTAAATTGAATGCTCATGGTACTATTGAAAATATTGCCTTTAAAAACCTGTTACATCATGAATTATTAATGAACAGCATTTTTGAACATATCTAGAAGCTTTCAAAGAAGAAACATGCCTCAAGAGTTGAAATTATATTCCTTTTAAAGTTATTTCAAATCTAAATTACAAGGAAATTTATTGCTTTTTTTTTTTATTTTAAACAAAAAGATATATTCTTCAAATAGTTATATGGTCAATAATTAAATTTAAAACAAAAAACATAATTATACAAAACTGTAGCATAATTAGCATAATTAACTTTTTAAGGCATTTTTAAGAATATATATATTTTTTTATGAATGGTGGGCTCAAAATAGAAAATACCTTTTGACTGTCATCTAAAAACTGCCCAATACAGGATGTCAAATCTGGTGAAGAGATTTTTAACTGCATGACTGGGTTCAAAATAAACAAAAACAACAACTTCAAACCAATTGAAACAATGTTTTGGAAAACAGCAAATTCTCAAATCTGCTTGCTCACATGTTATTTTTTTTTTAAATATAAACACATGTATTGCAAAAAAAAAAAAAAAAGTCTTTTAAAAGGCTAATTTTCTTCACTTCTCTCCCTCCCTTTTCTAGTATTTTTATTAACAACTTTAAACTATTAACTCTAATACAAAAATAACCAATCACTAAGCATTAATCAACCAATCACCAGCCAATCATTAAACACACAGTTGAAAAAAATTAAATGTTCCAAATATGCATATGTTTCTTTTAAGAAAAAAACCATCTTAGTGCCTTAACAGGAAACAAACAATCACTTTTGGCTTTTCATTTTAAGCTTTGTATATAAATAAAAAACAACATTGAGAAGGAGTGCAAAAACAGATGTTAATCTAGAAAAAATATTGCACCTGTTCACAATGTTTAATGGTTTTAAAAACTTCTAATTAATTAATATTTTATTCATTATAACAACAAGAAAAAATTATTATACTTGCTTAATAAAAAAATATTAAAAAAAATTAAAAAAAAAAATTAAAATAAAAATTAAAATAAATAAACATTTGGATACCAAGCAGACAAGTTTACAATTTAAAGAAGCCAAAACTTTTAAAAAGAAAGCAAATGATATATAATACACAAATTGTAATTGTGAAATATTGCTGATTTTTCTCCATGTTTTTAGCATATAATAAATAATACATTGGAATTAGTTTAGCTACATTAACTGTCCAATTTAGTGTGTGTATGTAAGTGTAGTGTAGTGCAGTGTAAATTAGACATAGTTAGCATTATATTTAAAAAAATTTTGTTTTAACTTTAAAATAATTACTTTAATTAAAATAATTTAACTAAATTTAATTATGGTATAAAATTAGAAACTTTACATTATAACATTTCACATCAGTATTACATTATAAACTTCAGTTATATTTGCAAATTTAAGGGCTTTGAACATTCTTATTAAGAAAAAATTATTAGAATAAGTCTTTCTAAAAGCTTTTTTGATTAAACTGGAAGTTTGAAATGCAGCAATAAGCATTCCATTTGCTATTCCAGTACTGCCATTTTTATGCGATTCTTCTAAAATACAAACATTGTTAAAAACAATTCTACATTGGTTTCCATTATTCATAGATTGGTGGCCGGCACATACTAAGTATGTTTTACATGTCAGTAGCTTTTAAAGAACAACAATAACTCACAGATGTTTTTTAGTACAACCATACTTTAAGAAAACATTTAATATAATCAGCACTGTTTTTTAGTACAACCATACTTTAAGAAAACATTAAATATAATCATATTATACTGAAACAGTAGCTTCAATAAGATATGATTAAAAAAAGTCACATTAAAAAAAATAACTAAACAGCACTAACAATATAAAAATACTATAACAATATAAAAATATAAAGCTCACATGAAAATAATTACTAAACAACACTAATAATACAAAAAGTGGATTGAATTCTTATCCTAGGATACAAGTAAAAAAATAAAACAACTGTTATCATTATCAGCTTTAGTTTTTATGGTGAAATTATGGTGGTAATACAAAAGTTATAGTGATAATACAAAAGTATCATTTTCATTTTGGTCATTATTTTAACAGGTGTTCAAATTTTTGCACTACCTGTAAAAGGCCTTTATTTTTAATCCTTTATTTTTTAGGAAAATTTTGATTCAGTAAGGAGTTTTAAAAAATAGGTTAAATTCCAAGCAAATCTTTATTTTTTATTTTTAATAATACTATTACTTCTTATAAAATCAATTTTTTTTAACATCTTTGATTAAGCCTTCTATTGTTTCTTTACCAAGTTCAAAGAGACATTTTTTTACTTTCAGATGAAGTTGATGGAGTAATTTAGCTTCATAATATAAATGCACTTTATAAGCACTTTTTGCATTTCTTTTATATCTTTAAATAAAACTTTTTTTTTTTTGAAAAATGATTGAAATATTTAGTTACATAAATAAGTAACTAATTACATAAACAATTAGTTACATTTTATTTTATACTGTAAAAATAAAAATTTTTATTATTTAAACTTTGATTGCTATTAAAAACTTTAATGTATATATTTAATGTTCTACAGCAAATTTTAAATTCAGATTGATCTTATAAAACAACAACAACAAAAATTCTTATAAGCTTTTTCAATTCATATTGCTTTTAAAAATCGCTCGAAATTTGATAAATAACAACATAATAAAATATTTTAAGTAATAGTAATTTAGCATCCAAGGTGCAGTGGTTAGAGACACCTAATATAGCCAATTGTAACAAGAAGTAGTAACAAATCAACAGAAAATGGTAGGAAAGTTCAAGCATTATATTGTAGATGATAATATTGATTCTTATCATCTTATTAATATAAGATGAGAAAAATTAAATTATTTGGCTTCTTCCTTCCTTAGGGAAATTTCTGACTTATTGTTGATTAATTGCTTTAAGACAGTTTTAGCTTTCTTGGTGAATGTATTACCAGGAAAATCTGAATATTTTTTATCCATAGCCCTTATTTCAGACTTTTAATTAAGTTCTTAATGCTTCTTTTATTTATTTTAAAAATAAAAAAACTTTATAATTTTTGGAATCATGTTTATACAATTTTTAGACATTTAGATTAAATCTTTTTTACAAATTTGCGTATAGGCTGAGTTGCAGCGGTTGCTGCTTATGGGCCGACACGCTCATTTAATGACTTGAAAACATTGTAAACTTTGACTCATCACTAAACAATACTTTTTTTTAATTCACAACATCTCAATGCACGCAACGCTTAGCAAAATCAAGTTGTTTCTTTCTCATGGCGGCTGTGATGAAAGGTTTTTTGGGACAACAGCACAAAGGCAATCCGAGCTTTTTTTGAAGCCTATGCTGCACTGTTCAAATGGAGACATTTCCGAAAAATAAACGGATTATTAACCACTGCACATTTTACAATTTTATCTGCACTCCTAGTCATTCTCCTTAGTCATCCAGAAGTTTTTTTCCCTGAAGGGGTCTTGCGTTAAGGATCTTCTAGACACTGTTTCAGCCAATTTTCGAAGATGGATATCTTTTGAAGATGCAAAAAATAGGCTATTTTGCTGAAAGGAGTGATACAACTGAACACAGATGAAGACTCCAATATACTGAATTGAAACAGTTTAGTATGTGTTAATACATAGAGGTATTACTGCTCGTTATAATAAAAAATGGTTGGTTTCAATAAAATGAGTGTAACTATTTTAAACTAACTTTTTTCTTCAGAGATCAAAACTATGAATTTTTTAGCAGTTATCGCAATACTATTTGCAGGTACTATATATATATTATTATCAAAAAATGTGGTATAAAAATGTGTTGTCTCCTTTAAGAATGTCTCTGATAAACAATATATTGGCATAACAGAAGGTGAATGGAAAAAACGTTTTGCCAATCAAAAGCAATCTTTTAAAAATAAAAAGTATTCAAATGACACCATGCTGTGAAAATATATATGGGAATTAAAAGATAAAAATATTGATGATTTTACACTGAATTGGTCCATCCTTAAAACAGTGCCTGCATATAACAATATTTCCAAAAAATGCATACTATGTCTACAAGAAAAATTTGAAATAATTACACATACAAACCAAGAATGTTTATTAAACAAAAAATCGGAACTGATTTCTAAATGCAGGCACAAAAATAAGTTTCTCCTAAAAAACTATAAAAATAAGTGAGCTCAAATAATAGTTACATGAACTCCCCTTTTAAAAAAATATATTATTTTTTAAAAAAGCTTAAGTAATCATTTCTAAAGAATTCTTTTTACAATAGTGTCAGCAAATTACACAAATGTGTGAAAAATTGCAGTAGTTAAGACATGTGACTTCCTGTAATTTAATTTTTGGTATAAATTGAAGTTTTATCAATTGATCATTCATTTCTGATGAGTCTTTATTGATGAAACACAGTGTTAAATGAGAAAAAATTTTGCTAAGTGATTTTCTACTAATTTGCAATTTATATATATATATATATATATATATATATATATATATATATATATATATATATATATATATATATATATATATATATATATATATATATATATATATATATATATATATATATATATATATATATATATATATATATATATATATACTCTTGCATGGTAGTCAGAAAGAGTTTCCCATAAACTGTAGTTTTAAAGAGCGCGTTAATAAACCAGACCAGAAAAAGTTTCAAAACTTAAATTTTTCTTTTTTTCAAAATGATAGACTGCTTACCCAAACCAAACCCTCAGTCGATGTAGTAGCACTCCCTTGCGAGTCAGGCTATTTGTCAGTCGTTGTAGCAGCGCTCCCTTGCGAGTCAGGCTATTTGTCAGTAGATGTAGCAGCACTCCCTTGCGAGTCAGGCTATAAGATAGTCGATGTAGAAACACTCCCTTGTAGCAGCAGGCTATAAGATAGTCGATGTAGCAACATTTACGCATGTTTTAAAAATGTTTTTTAATAAAACAAAAACAAAAACACCACTAATTAAAAAAAACTTTCTAGTCATTATTATTGCGGTTTTTTAAAAATTGTTTAAAAAACAATAAAATTTAATGTACTTCCGCATTAATTTAATTGCTTTGACATTTCGACGACAATTAAATACAGCTTAAGAGACGAGGTAATTAAAATTGTAGTCGAAAGAGACTTTTTTTACATTAAAAGACTCTTTCGACTACACTATAAGGATATATATATATATATATATATATATATATATATATATATATATATATATATATATATATATATATATATAAAATACAAATAACTATATTTCATACATTGCAAAAGTTACTGAATTACTACTCTAGTAATGTTAAAATCATGTATTCAACTATTTGATACCATTTTCTTTAGCAAATACAAGTAGTGTCCTAGAAGAGAAATAATGAATAGTGTTACTTAATAGACTATTTTGATTCTTAAAATGTAATTGATATAAAAAAATGTGTTTGATACAAAAAACTATATTTGAACTAACAAACTATTTGCAAAATACAAGAGATTAAAGAAGAAACCAATTTTATTTATCTATTTAAAAAATTTACTCCAAAGAAGGCTGCAAGCAACCACAATTTAAGTTGGAAGTTAACAGAGAGCAAACAAGGCTGCAAGCAACTACAATTTAAGCTGGAAG